GGCACAAAAATAGACATGAGAACCAATGGAACAGAGTAGAGACTCAAGAAATAAACTGCAAAACATATAGCCAACTCATTTTTGACAAAGAGTATCAGTTAATCCAGTAGGAAAAGGAAAGCCTCTTTAGTAAATGGTGCTGGAAAAACTGGGTGTCTATCTGCAGAAAGATGAATCTGAATTCCTGTCACCATTAACAAAAATCAACTCAAAGTGGATCAAAGATCTAAAAAAACTACAAACTATAAAACTACTGGTGGAAAACACTGGGGAAACTCTGGGACACATTGGGATAGGCAAAGACTTCTTAAGCAAGACCTTCAAAGCACAGGCAATAATCCCCCAAATAGACAGATGGGATTACATCAGATTAAGGAGTTTCTGCACAGCAAATGACACCACAATTAGCATGAACTGACAACTCTCAGAGTGGGAGAGAATTTTTATTAACTGTGCCTCAGATAAGGGATTGATACCCAGAATACACAGGGAATGCAAGAGGATTACCTGGAAGAAAGTGATTAACCCAATTAAAAGATGAGAAAATGAGCTGAATAAACAACTCTCTAAGGAAGACATACAAACAGCCAAAAAGCATACAAAAAAAATTCTCAACATCCCTCATTGTAAGGGAGATGCAGGTGAAAACCACAACAAGATACCACCTAACTCCAGTCAGAATGGTGGAGATTTAAAAAACAAATAATGATAAGAGCTGAAGGAGTTGCGGTGAAAGGGGAACACTCCTGTACCCTTGGTGGGAATGTAAATTGGTCCAGCCACTGTGGAGAATAATATGGAGGTTCTGCAAAGATCTTCAAATAGAACTACCATATGATCCAGCAATTCCACTCCTGATATCTACCCAAAGGACAGGTGAGCTCTCAGTCGGAAAAGCGCTTGCACAACTATTTTCATTGCAGCATTATTCACAATTGCTAAGACATGGAATGTCCACAAACAGATGAATGGATTGAAAAATTGTGACACATATACTCCATGGAATACTATTCAGCCATAAAAAAAAAAAACAC